AAAGTTTTAATAATTGTTTACCTTTTTTAAAATGAAATATCATATTTTAAAAATCACAACCCCCGGGTAAAGTTAAAAACACTTCTTTTTTGGTATATTTATTGAATAAATAATGTATTTTTAGGTTGGGCTCCGGGTGATGTTAAATTCAATTCAGCACCCTACCCAATCACTTCCTAAATCCAAACCCATTCACATTCTCACTCACTCTTAAATACATTTTTCCCTATTTACACGCCATTCACTCCATCATCCTTTACACAAATATACAACTAACCTAATTGAGAATTGATTGGGTACACAATGTTCCGCCATTACCTCTCTTTCATTACATATTCACGCTAATAAATACATTCATCCTCAATTCACTAGGGTACACAACAAAATCAGCACTATATATAATGAAACAACCTTGTTTCCTTCAAGAAACAGAACATGGTCCCAGATACTTGCTGCCGTGCTTAAGTACATTTCTCATATCGAGTGGCATTCCTACACGCTCTCTGTATGGAGCCAAGAAGTTGCTCCCTTCAGTTAGCTGGGACACACCTATCTGTCCCACTTAATTGAAAAGTGCAATTCAGAGAGCGCGTAGGAATGCCACCCTCTGTGAAAATTGTGCTGAGGACCACAGCGAGTATTTCGGTTCGGATTCTTGGAGGGAGAAGAGTTGTTTTAAGCGGGGAACACACTTACCCGATGCAACGCTATGCGACGCTACCTGATGCTACCCGACGCCTTGCCACGTTTTGGTAGGGTGTGCACATCTATGCGACGTCAAGCGCACGCCACGTACGACTGTCACAATATTGTGTGTCAGTGTATCACAATAATCAGTATCACAATCGCAACGCATCTTTGTTCTTTTTGTTTGTTCTTAATGCATTATTTTGAACAAAACCATGTAATACATTGTTAGTTAAATTTAATTGTTTTAAATAAAGTGATTCCGGTGTTTTGATAAATTTTCTGCCTAACCATCATAATTAAGTAATTTTAATAAAAATTCACGAATTTTTGATCTCGTTTAATTAGGTTTATACAAAAATAAAAATGTTGTAATTAATATAACGACAAAATTACATATACATAGTTTGAAATAAATTACAAAAAACATGAGTATCCTGTTCTGACGGTACTGGACGAAAATGGTGTAATTTTATTAGCAAACCCATGAAATAAATGGTTAGTTATATTATATGAGCAAAACCGTGTAATAAATTGTTAGTTAAATTCATTATATCATAAATGGTATTCCGGTGTTGATCAATTTTCTACCAAACCATTAAAATTGATTTTTTTTTTTAAATAAAAACTAATGAATTTTTGATCTCGGTTAATTTGGTTTATATTAAAATAATTATGTTGTAATTAATATAACGATAATAATACATGCAGTTTGAATAAAAATATGATTGCCCGGTACTTTTGTCTTCGACTGTACTCGATGCTACGCAACGAAAATCTGGACGCTGGGGATCGCAGAGCGTAGCGTGGGGTTGCGTTGCATAGCATCGGGCAGATGTGCACTGGGGTAATACAATCTTATGGAAAATTGGACTTTAGATTTGCCTCGGGTAGCATCGGTCGGGTAGTGTCGCACAGCGTCGCATCGAGAAAGTGTATTCCCCGCTTTATTGTTTATAGTAATGATAGTTTTGTGTCTCTAGCGTGTTTTGAGAGTGAACGTATTTATTAGCGTAAATGTAGTGTGAGAGGGTCGATGGCAGAATACTGACAATCAACCCTCAATTACGACAATGTGAGACAATAAATATTTAAGAGACAGTGAGAGTGTAGGAAATGATTAGGTTGGGGGGCTGAAATGACTTAGCTGTTGATACTTTCTGAAACCTAACCTCGGCGGCTGGACGGACAAGATCGACTCAGGTTCCCAAAATTTGGGTCGGGTGACTTTCCAGGCCTGCTTTTGACCTTCAATTTATTGCAATCGACATCAATATTGATGTTATAAGTGTACAATAATAATGATAAAAAGGGGAGTTTGTGTTAAGTATGATTGCACTTGGTGTTTTTGCTTGGTCCAAGAAAATCGCTTGGCTTCTGGACGAATGGTCACTAGGAGACTTCCGTCTAGATAACTGGATACTTAGATCTTGAATGGGTGCCGGTGAAGAAATGCTGTCGGGCATTAGGTCGATACGATTCCCCCTAACCGTTGAAAAGACGCGGTGTGCAAATCCATCCACTTTCCTCCACAAACAAGGGAAGGCCTTTTAGAATTGAAGTATTTTCTACCAGTTGTAAGTGGAAAATTGAAAAGGGATTTAATTATCCCGGCTAAATCCGAGTCGCTCACATCGGAACTTTCTCAATTAAAAACTTCACACAGCCTTCTGGAGGTCATTCTGCAAATTAAAGTAAAGAATTGTCCGGGAAGACGAGGGGCGATGGTCATGTTAGCTATTAGGAGAAGAGGAGTGATCGTCGAACGGAACAGCTCCTTTAATGAGTTCACTTCAGGGGGTTTAACCTAAGAGTTTAAACTGTGCGTCTTTAATAATGTTTGTTAATTTAATGCAAGGCCGAGCGCTAATTCTCCTCCTAAATTGAGGCCCTCAATTGAGTTAGAAACCCTCCTTCACCCTTTCCACCGACTCCTACTCCACCTCTCATCCACTCCTATCTCTAACACACTTCACCCTCATTCCTACACCCATCCCTTTAATCTCATAGTTGGAAATTTGCTTCCTTTTTATACAAAAGGGTTTTCACGCCTCAGCGCCTGTTTTATAAAAACCTTCTACAGTTCTTGCACTAATCTTTTAACAGTAAATTTGTTATTTAATAAAATTACTACTAATTTTTTTTCAACGTCGTTTCTACACGAAATACCAAGACTTTAAAACACTTCATTGTATTAAGGGAAAAGATTAAATAAATCACTCGTAAAATGTCTAACAGGGCTAACAGAAGAAGGGTAGATGGCCGACAGCAGATGGTTTCAAAAGAGGATCAGAAGTTCAATTTCAACATTTTCTTTCTTCTTAAAACTTTACAATATCAATTATTCAAATTTCAATAATCTCCGTTCCGTATGGTGCGATTTGTATATCATCCAACCATTCTGGCCTGCCTGCCTTCCGTTAATCGCCTCATATACACAGGCGTAATATCTTCAACAGATACACCGGTGAAGATGGTGGGAAGCCGAAACGCCACTGACAGGCCAAATTGATCGGAACCGACCGAACTTGAGGTCCATCACCTCCCTGCTTAACATAAAATTTCACAATTTTATGATACTCAACTAGTCTACAAACAAAAAACTAATCACGAGCTAACATAATTGTTTTATAAAATAATTATTTTAGGGGGCGTCGGTGGCCGCAATGGTTGACACGGTGCTCATCACTGTAAGGTAAATGTCCAAGGGTTCGAATCCAGCGGCCCGGCATTCGAACCCGACATGCTTACAAATGGGCTTTTTTTTCAAAACCACCGGCACCCTGACGGTTTGGTTTATATGACCTCCGTTGTTGCAAACCCGCGTAAAAAAAATATTTTATACATATGTTTAAAAATTTCACAAATTAAAAGAAAAATCATTTGAATTTAGATTTAATGTGTATAACTTTCTATTTTAATTATAATTAATTTTCATATGCTCTTCTAACAGTCCAATTATTTTATAGTTTAAAAAGAATTTACAAATACAAAGGAACTATCTCATAACATCAAAGTTTTTAATACTTTAATGAAAGGGTTTATTATTAAAATGGTTGATTTAAAATTAAAAGTATTAATTTGAAATTAAAATTGTTGATTTGAAGTTAAGACAACGTTGATTTGATGTAAAAAAGGTAAATATGAAGTAAAAAAAGTTAATTTGACGGAAAAAAATATATTACTACAATTCTTTTCATATAACATAATTTCCAGGTGGTCTCCTAAGAACCCAATTATTTTATATTTTAAATCAAATCACAAATATACGGGAATACTTCTATTTCATACCATCTCCTAAGTTTTTAACCCTATTTAAGAAATTTAACCTCTAATAATCTTTTATTAATTTCAAATTGACCATTTTAAACTTCTAATTAATTTTTTATAATTTCAAATATACCCATTCTTAAAGCATTAAAAAATTTAGGAAATAGTATGAAATATATGCCTATAAAGTAAAAATCCTGTAAAGTTCTGACTTTTTGTAAAAAAAAATTATAGTTTTTAAAAGCTTAATTATTTGATATTAAAAACAAAACTCTGATTAAAAGAAGAATTGGTTTTTATATTCAATTTTATAGGAATTTTTAATTTTATGTGCAACTAGTTTTCATATGGTTTTTTAAAAGCCTAATTATTTTATATTTATTTTTTTTCCAATTGCAGTAATGTTACATTAAATGCTTCCAACTTCCATTGTCCTAATCACTCTCCGTGTGACGGAAGACAGACGGCCGTGACGCGGCGCGGGCACGGTGCGGTCACGTGGGAGTCCAGCCTTAATGAAACCATATTCGAAAACTTAGAAATATACAAGCATAATAAATTGTACACGAAATTACCAACAGGTCACATAAATAGACGATTACGAGGACGTTTACTCGAACGAGAAAAAATCATGAACAAATGGTCAGAAACGACGAAACTAAACGGTTCACCATCCCGCAGACAAAGAGAGAAAAATCTCACTCTTTTTTGTTTGAAAAGTCGTTTATTAACGTTGAATGCCTTGTGGTTTTTTTAGAATACCTTGTGTGTACAATCTTTATAAAAGATAGTTCCTACTCACAGTAAGTCGTTTTCAACAATCGGATTTCGAGCTTATACCTTATCAAGTTGAAGGAGTTCTACAACCACGTCTCTCGACATGTATTGCAAGACCATCATTTCTATTGTGTTTCACAATTTCATAGAGTGCGGTATAGATTTGTTTAAACTGTTGTACCCGACAGATTAAAACTAGTTGAATGAACGGAATCAATAGTCAATTGACCACATTCATTTAAATTGTCCTTGTTTCTGTTTTGCAGGTCTGGTTCCAGAACAGAAGGGCGAAATGGAGACGACAGGAGAAGATGGAGGCGGCGCGGATGGGGCTGAATGAGTTCCACCAGCCTGGTGTAGGAGGGAGGGTCGGAGGGCCGTCTCTCTCCCTCCCGGTAGATCCTTGGTTAGCACCTCCGATCTTGACCGCCCTCCCGGGATTCCTGGCACACCCGCACACCGGCTACCCGAGCTACCTGACGCCACCGGTGCCGACTCCGGAGCCGCCCTCGACGCCTCCCAGCTCGCCGCATTCCTCTCCCGACCTCAGGACGACCTCAATCGCCGCATTGAGACTCAAAGCGAAAGAACACGTCGAATCGATGACAAAAGGACTTCAAATTACTTAAAACTCGTTTTTAGCTTCGTTTTTCTTTTCTTTTAATAATGCTTATTTTTTTCATTTTATTTTGTTTGTTTTATTTATTTAATTTTTACAAACGGACATTCAGATGTTTCTATGTTTCAATCTATTTTTATTATTTTTTGTAAAGTGTTATTATTGTTGAAAAGAACGAAAAACACCATTAATCATTTTTGATGATTTGCCACTTAAGTAACACCTCATCTTACAAGAATCCTGCAAATTTATTATAAACTCGGATGACTCAAAATTGAATAAGATGCATATCATGAAAATTACAATTCAACACTGTGTGAAGCTTCGAAAAATTAAAAATTCAATTATAACAGCAGAATTGTCACAAACTTCAACTAAATTCATCCTTTTTTAAATTACGTAATTATTTCTTGAAAATAGGCCTTTATTTTGATATCATTTTTATTCTTTTTTGAAAAATTTATTATTGTTGAAAAGAACGAAAAATGCCATTAATCATTTCTGATGATTTGCCACTTAAGTAACACATCTTCATTTTAAAAGAATTCTTCGAATTTATTATAAATTCGGATGACTCAAAATTGAATAAATAATAAGATGCATATCATGAAAATTACAATTCAACACTGCGTGAAGCTTCGAAAAATTTTAAATCTAATTAAAACAGCCGAATTGTCACAAACTGCAACTTAATTCAGCCTTTTTTAAATTACGTAATTATGTCTTGAAAATAGGCCTTCATTTTGATATAATTTTTATCTTTTTCGATCCTGCGTATAAATAGGAACCACTAATCCGATTAAAAAGACATACAATTGTCGTTAGTACAGGACCGTAAACGTAAAAATTTAATGACAACACCAGTAGTCAACTTTATGAATGTCTGGTACATTTGACTATGGCTGCATTACATTCAAAAATTGCTATATGATTTTTTTTATTTAGAAGTAAGCATTTCGCCATATGCCAAGTGTGTTTAAAAATGACAACAATGTGCAAATGTAAGTTCTAAAAAAACAACGCGTCAATTTAAGCTGTAAGACTAAAGAAACAGGCGGTTTGCATTCGCATATTTCCTCCACATCACGGAAAAACTTTGAAGCAAGGATATGTAACCTAACCCAGCCCTAACCTTAACCTCACCGAACCTAACAGTACATAACCTAACACATCCCAAAACTAACCTAACCAGTCCTTAAACCTAACCTAACCCTACATAACCTTCATATTCCTAACCTACAAATGCCCATTCTCGGATAACGCCTAATCCATCCCTAATACTAATTTTAACCCTACCTAACCTAACCTAGCCAGTACCTAACATTAACCTAATCCTACAAAACCTACCAATGCGCATTCCCCGGTTACGCAAAATTGATACAAAAATGGCCCAAAAAATGGTTTTTCAAGTTCGCTTTATTTATTAAAACTGGTCTAAAAAAACTTGTTCAATGATTAATTTTACGTTGATCATAAATTATTCAATTTATGTTTCCCCCACTGGTGTCGTTATTACTTTTTAAAATTCAAACTATGCGACTCACTTCACAAAAAAACCAAAACGGACTAAAAGTACGAGAAATGAGTATACATACTTGAAAACTTAGACATATAGAAACGCAAAAATCCTGCAAAAAAATACCAACATCTTACATATATTATTTTCACCATTTAATCATCGACCAACCAAAATTGACCAATTAAAAAGAAAAAGAGTCAGTGATTACAAGGACAGGAACAATAAACACTGAACCATGAATATGTAACCATCCCTAGCCCTACCAAACCTGACCTAACCCATCAACATTCCCAAAATCATAATTTCCAGTATTCTTGATATTTCGACACTATTTTTCATTGATAGAGCTGCATTGTAAACCACGAATGTAACTGTGTTTTCTAATGATGTCAGGCCATTGGTATAAATCGGAAACAGGACTAGTCCTCGAACGTTCCCCTGAGCAATCACGCTTTATTTCTAAAAGTTCGGAGTATTTGGCCTCTTACTTCGCCCGGAATTGTACCTCTGAGATTTAAAAAAAAGTAAATAAATTTTTTAAAAACGTGAACATTTACGATAAGGAAACAAAATCAAGTTGCTTAATCTATAAAAAAATTTATTTACAAAATGTGATATCCTTGTGATCCCATTCATCAGTTTATATTATACTAAAATATGTTATTAATAAAATTTTAAAAAAATGAATGTTATCACAAAACAAATAATTTTTTAAAAATTAATTAGTTTGATTGATTTGATTTGTTCTTTTAAACGAGGAAATCTTGATTGTGGATGGATTACTTGCAGTTTCTGTTCAAAAAAAGGGTTCTTGCTCAACATTTTTATTGTGCACAAAATAATAAAAGTGATAAATAGTATTTAGTTAATTATCTTATTTAATTTTGAGTCACCCAGTAATAAATTGTTATTCCTTCATTTTCTTCTGAGAAACGACGACCAATAATCTCAAAAATAACTAATTAAAGTTTTTTTGTATTAAATGTGTATCTATATCGAAATTTCACATTAGTTACCGGGACATGTGAAAATAATACAGATTATATTCATTATTGACTGTGTCTTGATTATTTTTTACCAATTTTGTCAAAGGATTGTATCAATTTTCCTTCAAAAAATTAAACATTCCAAAGTCACCACATAGAAATATTTCGTTTGTATCAAATTACTGTAAATATGTGTTTCTAGTAATATTAATAGATTTGATAATTATCGTAAAAAAATGTAAAAAAATAATTATTTGCGCCGTAGTGTGGAATTGACGGGTGTAATGAATTTTAACTTGATTAGTAAGTTTCTGATAGGATTTTTAACTATATCCAAAGGAAAGATTAACGCAAATTGGATAATTAAATACGAATTTGTAAAAATTATCTCGAATTAATTTCTTGACAAGTTTATCAATTAGGTACTTTAAAGTGTATAGATATCTTCTTTTACTTTGTTTATAGCAATATTATTTTTTTAAATTTATTTGATCAAAATTATAATAATTTATTTTAAAAATCTAATTTATAAAGTTGTGTTTTCCCTCGCGCACGCATATGAAAATGTACAGGTAAAAAATAAAGTAAGTCTATTTATTTTGCAAATGCTAGGAATTGTGTAAAGCAAAAGTAACAAACACGTGTAAATTTTTTGTATATTTAAATTATTTAAACTTTAATATTGTATATAATATAAATATAAAATAGTAAACTATAAAAAAACAGGAACTGCAATACTATGTTTTGTATTTACTATTAGTTATAAAGTAGACATTTGTTATACTTTCAACATAACATGTTATTGAATGTTGTGGGAAAAAAAATTTGTATTGAGTGTTATAGATAAATGACGTAATGAAATGTGTCGCATATTGTACGAAATCATTAAACCTAATGGCCAAAAGAAAAAGAAAAGAAACATACACATTTGAATATTGTCTTGGGAGAAAAAAAATGACAGAAAGGGAATTATTTCAGACTTAGTTCATTAGACTAATAACTCATAGGATATGATTGAAAATATATAAAATAACCAGGTAGCTGTAATAAATTAGATATTCTGAAATTAATTCAGCAATTATCTTTTTTTCTGTTTTGTAGAATCGGATTTCTATAAGTGATGGTTGGACATTTTTATAATCGATATGTGGCTTTTAGCGTTCATTTTTTGACATGTACATAATGTATTAGTCTATTGTGTAAATGAAAAATAATAAACGACTACTTTTAAAAGAAAAAATACCGTTTAAGCGGTATGTCAGAGTGAATTTTTTTTTTTTTGGTTTTAAGAGTTAAAAATCAATTTAGTTTTATATTTCCAACAAGGTAATTTACAATCGAATTTTGCCATTGTATAATTTTCATTGAGGAAGGCGGCCAAAGAGGTGGTGTGAAATAGTAAGGTAAGTTAGGTCGAAACAATCCAACAAACAAAAAATAATAAACAGCCTTTTAAGCCCCATACTTTTCCCTTTGTTGTTAAACGATTTGCCAACGATCCTTGAAAGAGTTAGGGTCGGAAACTCGAAAATTAACTCATAATTATATGCACGACCCATTCGCTCTTCAGTTGAATCTAAACGTACTAGAAAAATATTGCGAAAACTGATATCCAACTCTGAGCCTAAAAAAAAGTACCTCGATGATCTTCAGAAAGTTAGTTTGGTAGGCTGAAGTTAACTGAGAAGTGTTATAGAGTTTCTAAAATAGGTATTGTTTAAACGTAGAAATATTTGAGAGTCAGTATGTCACCTCAACGAAACTTAAAAAATTTACAGGTCTAAACAGTATCTAAACAGAAACTGTCATTGTTTTTTTCACAAAACACCGTGCCTCTGTAATAAAAGATACAATGTTTATAATAGTGGGTAAGTACACTTCGGTCTTTCAGGCAGAAATACAGGCCATCACTGCTTGTGCCCTGGAAAATCTTAAAAGTGGTTACACTGGCAAAAAAATCCTCATAAGATCTGATAGCGAGGCAGCCATTAGAGCATTAGCATGTAAAAGGATCACATCAAAATTAGTCAGTGAATGTATCCAAAATGTCCAAAACCTGGGGAAACACAACAACCTGATATCTTGGGTGCCAGGGCACAGGGGAATTTTGGGTAACGACAAAGCAGACAGTCTGGCCAGAGGAGGATCTGCAAGACCATATATAGGCCCTCAACCTACACTTCGGATAACAAAAACGAATATAGAATCCTCCTTCGCACAATAGACTCAAACAAGACAAAAGGAGAAGTGGATAAAATCTAGCAGTGCTAGACATAGTAAACTTATGGTGAAACAACCCTCACCAAGACTGGCAAAAGCATTGCTGCAATTGGAGAGGGCCAAACTCAGAGGAGTAGTAGGACCATTAATTAACCTGTCCCTGGCATCTGAGAAAACATCTACACAACATGGGTATATACAACGATGATCCCATGTGCAGATTATGTAATAAAGAGGAAGAAACAGCCACCCATATCATCTTTGAATGCGAAGCAACAGCTCACTGGAGATTTAACCTAACCTATGGAAAAAACT